ATTAGTCTGCTCAGTTCAAAATCTCTAAGATAGTGTTTTGTTAATATTAATTTAAGGATTTATGCTGAACTTACCGTGCATTTTGATGTTGGCAAAATTACAACCAAATGTAACTCGCGGGTTCACTGACCTTTATACGTCACTATCAGATGATTTGATACCCGGGGGTAATACTACGTTAATGTGCTAGCCTGCCCGTTAACTTAAATTCAGCCAATAATTTTGAATATGAAAATAACATATACTTGCGAAAGTGGATTAGATTAAAAAAAAAATACAAACGAGAACATTTTGTCTCGGAAGCGTGTCTGGTGGATTTATCTCGATCACTATTGATTGTAGCGTAATCAGTATATGTGACCTGGACTATAGAAAGGTACAGGTACCATAGGTCTATGGTCGGAAGAATCAATTTTTGTTTTTTGATCGAAATTTATAGAAAATTGAATGTATTTTTCAATGGAAAAAACCGCAGACTCCTAAGTTTGAAACTTTTTCTGGAAATCATCCTTAAAGTTCAACATGAATTATAAAAATCGCGAAAAAAATTGTAAATAGATCAAGAAATGCTTTTTTTGATCTTTTATTTTCGTCAATATACTGAATAAACATATTGTACGTCATTTGATCAGAAGTATTCAATATTATTATGGATCTAAAAAATACTGCTTCAGCTGGACTTGATGAAATAACTGTCAGCTTACTTAAAAATTCAGCCTTGGAATTACTAGAACCTTTAACTTATTTAATAAACTTAACGCTAAGCACAGGCATTTTTCCAGATCTGCTTAAAATGGCAGAAGTTGTTCCAATTTATAAAAAAGGAGACAAAACGAAATTTGACAATTATAGGCCCATAGCACTCTTATCAAACGTCAGTAAGATTTTTGAAAAAATAATTCACCAAAGAATCATTTCATACCTTGAACAGAACCAAATGTTATCAGACACACAAAATGGATTTAGACGGAATAAGTCAACATCAAGAGCCATATTTCAGAGCCTTAAATTACTATTGGATGCTCTTAATAATAAGGAAAAAACATCATTAGTATTTATTGATCTAACAAAAGCTTTTGACAGTGTAAGTCATAAAATACTTTTACAAAAATTAGAATACTATGGAGTGAGAGGAATAGCCCTTAAATTGATCTTTAGCTATCTGGATAATAGAAAACAAAGAGTAATAGAAAGAACATCTGAAGGTTTTAAAATAAAATCCGAAGATAAAATCTGTCAAAGAGGGGTACCACAGGGATCAATTTTGGGGCCACTACTTTACATAATATATACAAATGACTTACCTGAGTTTATAGATGTTCCTGTCGTGATGATACAACCATTCTAGTAAAAGAAAACTCACTGGTGGAACTACAGGCAAAAATATTAAGTTCACTGGAAATCCTGGAAAAATGGTTCACCAACAATAACCTAAAAATAAATGTAAACAAGACACAACTCATTAACTTTTCGTTTTGGAAAAATGATGATAAATTAACACTTACCAAGAACAATATTGAAATATCAACACAAAAATCTGCTAAATTCCTCGGAGTATATATTGATTCTAGGCTTGATTGGACAGTACATGTACAACATTTAGCAACAACATTGGCAAGAGACATATATGGACTCAAAGTTATAGCAAACAATGTAAATAAAGAGGCTGCAATAATTATGTATAATGCATAAGTGGAGTCCAAGCTCAGATATGGATTAATTTTCTGGTATAATTCGATTGATACATATAGAATTGAAGTTCTTCAAAAAAAATGCATAAGAAATATATTTAATCTTAGCCAAATCACATCATGCAAGCCATACTTTTTAAATAATAATGTTCTGACTCTAGCTAGCCTTTACATCTATGAGGCAGTAATGTTCATTAAAAAAAATGAAGACCTCTTTGACTGTCAAAACCATACGTACAGAACAAGACACAAGCAAAATTTATCAACAGATTTATTACGTTATTCGTATCTACAAAAAAATGTTTGTTATAGAATAGTGAAAATATATAATTACTTACCGGCTATCATAAGAAAACTTCCTCACCAAAAACTTAAAAAGCATCTCCAATTTGTATTAACCCAACGATGTTACTATTGCATTGAAGATTTTATGAATGATAAACAAATACAATGTTTAGATACATGTTTAGATACATGGAGAGTCAAGGCCAACGCAACCGAGCAAAACACTTTTTTGTGAAATATGATTTCTTTCTTTATTTATCTTTGTATACAAATTGTATAAGACAATATATGTATTAATTATTTAACTTTGAATTTGACATGTTTTACGCCAATTATATGTATACATATGTATGGTATTTTAAACAAATAAACGATATTATTATTATTATTATTATTTGATCTTCGTAATCTTCATCACAATCCGCAAAATATTATTTCTTCTTCTAAATCCATTCTGCACTTTCACAAACTAAAACAATTTTAAATTAGCTGCATAACAACGAAAAACCACGATCTCGAAAATAGAATGATAAGAAAAACAGCACTTTTTCAACGTTCACAAAATTAGCTATTTAGAGGAAATAACTTGAATAAGGTACCTACAAAAATATTTATTGTAAAAGCACCACTGTATAGTGGAAGTCTAAAGAGAGGTGAGGAGCCAAGGGTAAGACGAAAAAAGAAGAGGTAGAAGCGCAAATACAAACGCGACGCACGGAAACGACTTGTTATCATTAACAGCTGTTTTTTCGAAAATTTGATTTCTAACCATGGGTACCTTTCCATAGTCCAGGTCACATATTAAGCTTACTTGGCCATTCAATTATTGAAGATCTGACGGCTAGCAAGTATAAAGCTAGGTTCTTCCATTTAAAATATTGAATATTAATGAAAATTAGTGGATTCCATCAGTAGATAGTTTGGCTATCGGGTGTTGTCACGTAGCCGGCCAAAATTTTGACGAATCACGAAGATATATATCATTCCAAGTATTACCATCCGCGGAACTAACAAAGATCGAGAGTAGACGTTCTGAAGAAGATTCCGCAGGTCAGTCCTTTCTGGTTTTTAATATATATAGAGAGAGAGTTTAACGGAAAGTCATATGTTCTTATAATGACCACCGAGCAGTTGCATCTCTAATTTTTAATTGTAGAACATAGAATTTTAACTACAACCTGTAAACCTAACAGCTGTTGCGGTCTTTATTTTGCTGATTTTCATTTCATTTTTTATTATACACTTAAAACCACCTATAAATTTACGACCCGACATAATTTTCTTAGTTTTGCTTACAGAAAACTAAGTGGCGCCCAATTTAATAAAAATTTTAGAAGAGGTAACTCAGGTAAAGCTTATTACATTAACTCACTCAACGCCCATAGACCCAGTGCTCACTGACAAAAGATAACGCCACAACTTTTAATATCTCTTGACTTCTCTAAAGCATTTAATACTATCGACTCTGATCTGTTATGCGTTAAGATACATTATTATGGTTTTGAGGATCTCTATTTATCTCTTTAAATACTATTTATCAGAAAGGTATGTTACAGTTGACAATAAGAAATCGCGTTCAGCAAATATTATTTCTGGGGTACCTCAGGGATTGATTCGTGATTTATACATCAGATATTTTTGAATTAGCTGATGCCCACCTACAAGGGTATGCAGATGACTCACTTTATAGATCTAACCCAGAAAAAATAGATGATGCTTTGGTAGATATAAATGAAGATCTAAAACGGTTTTTTGGTATTTTGTTCAGAAAAAAACGACCTGAGATTGAAAATGCTCTTAACTTAAATATTAATGGAATTTCACTTTCTCTAATTTTTTAAAAAGTCAAAAATATTAGGGGTCACTATTGACTGGAACTTAAAGCTTTGCGTTCATACAAATTGGAAAATTAAAAAACAATTATGTGAATCACTTGTTTTGTCAGTTTTTAGTTATTGTAATCTTTTTTAATACCCTTTTCTCGATAAAAGTAAGTACTAAAAACCGAATACAGATGGTGCAGAATACCTGCTGTAGACTTATTTGCAATGTCCGTAAATTTAACGACATTTCTACAACTTTCAGAAGTCTCAAATGGTTAAATATGGATAATATACACTATTTTACCCAAACTACTTTTCTTTATAAATTAATACAAACTCAAGCACCTTTATATTTTAGAGAAAAATTAATTTTAGGAATATACATAGTCGTAACATACGCAACAACTCCCTTACTATTCCCCAAACCACACCGATTTTAAAAAATATCTTTTAGTTATTTATTATTATTTGGCTGCAAAACCAGGATTTACTAACATTAAGCCAAACACATTAAATTTTAGAGTACATACAAAAAAGCCTTGCTTGAAATGCAAGGCCAGTTTACATTTTAATAACATATTTAATTTATTTATTCACTGTGTTCTAAAATCCTTTCTTTTTTCTTTTGTGGTATAATATTATTCCTTATGTATTTTTATGGTTAAGTGAAAAGTTAATTTTTGTAATCAAACTTTGCTATTTTGATGTATGTATGTCAAATAAAGTCGTTTATTAATATTATTATAATAAGAAAATATACTAAATCATAAACTATGTAAACACAATAAGATTATGTATTAATATTATTATTAATTCTTAATTATTTTTAAAGTTTTATATATAATTAATTAGCTTAAGCTATATATAAGATTAAAAATCAACATGACAACTATGGTTATATTCCATTCTCTCTCCTGTTTCGCTTGCCTTCTTTTCTTTTTGATTTGCTATCCTTATCTACGGCTTTACTTATTCTATTGTATACATAGTATGTATCAAAGATATATATATATTTATATTATCTTTGGTATGTATTACATACTGTATAGTTCATAAAATGACCGTCAGAGGGGAAAGTGAAAATAAAATAACATGGAGAAGAATCGTTAGTTTTGAGTTAGGACACTTTTCTTTTGCATGAACAAAATATATTATTATATATTATTATATTTCTTAGACATGATGATTATTGTTTTTTCAGTTTAATATTTTCCCAATCCTTGTATACGTTAAACTGCATTGAATATTTTCTAAATCGAATCGACGAGGCAACGCAAGCAGGAAACACAGAATCTGTGGGTGGGCACACAGGTTCCTGGTCGATTGGACTGGACTACTTCCGATTGGACGGATCGTCGAGTTGCGAAAACCGCGCCACCTGGTGCAACATGTTCAACAGCCCAAAAAATACCAGGGCAAGGTTAGAATTTAACTTTTGTTGTTCCTCGATTTTATTTATTGGTTTTTAGGTTGTTTTTGATCTCAACTAAAGCTGGGGGTCTTGGTATTAATCTAACGGCAGCCAATAGGGTTATTATATTTGATGTGTCCTGGAATCCTTCACATGATATTCAAAGTATTTACAGAGTATATCGTTTTGGACAGACCAAGCCATCATATGTATACAGATTTGTGGCTTATGTAAGTAAAAACTTTCTTTATAGTCATAATTTTGATTTTAGAATGGATTGGTTTAATCTAGGAGTTATTTTTTATACCACTTGAAATTTAGGCATATCCCAACAATAAAAATTGCTCATCAAAATTCACTGGTTTAAAATAGGCTTTTAATTTTACTAGCTTCATTTGTGATATAAAAATTATTCATAATATATATATTATATGTTATATTATAAAAAACAAAATTGTCCAGTACGATTTTTTTTTGTTAACATATTTATGAATTTTTACATTTTATTGAACCAAAGGTTCAAGATGTGTAATAGGGTTATATTTGCAGACATGCTTTTTACAGGAATTTTGAACAAACTGATCATAGGTCTTGGCGTCTTTACTTTGAAGACAAGTATTGCATTGCATTGTTGTCTTTTTAGGTACCTGAATACAGGGTCTTTTTAAAAGTACAAGCCATCTTTGAGTCGCTCTTTGTATAGTTTTTGGAATATAATAGGTTTGGAACGAGTGTACACCTTTTATGCGACGAACCTTTTCCAAAAAATGTTAAATTTTTATTATATCAATTTAAATCAAACAAACTACGCTAAATTCGATCGCATATTGTCTCATAATGTGTGAATCATTGTGGGGTCAAATAAAAATTTGGATATACTTTAATTAGGAAAATCATCCCTACTATATAGTTGGAAGAATACACGGAAGCATATTTAATTTTTTTGTGTATTTACGTCACAAAAAACAAGATTTGGGGTCATACTCCAAAGGTTAAAAAAGTTATGTCAAGAAAGAAGTGCGGTATTCATATTAAACCTTATGTTATGTATAGGGCACAATGGAAATGAAAATATATGAAAGACAAGTTACAAAACAAGCCATATCCAAAAGAGTAATTGACGAACAACAAATCGACCGCCACTACAACCAAAATGACTTGCAAGAACTATACAAGTAAGTAATTTATTTAAAAAGGCATTTAAGGAAAGTCTAAAATGTATTTCTTACAGATGTGATCTAAAACCGATAGAAAGACCAACGCCTCTGGTACCCAAAGACGTCCTGTTGGGCGAGATGTTGCACACATATGCCTCGCACATCTACAAATACCACGAGCATCAGTCCTTGCTGGAAAACAAGGAGGAGGAGGGTCTCAATGAGGAGGAAAGAAAAGCAGCATGGGAGGAGTTCGAAAATGAGAAGGTCAACAGATACGCCAATCACAATACAGGTAATTGTCTTATATAAAGTTTATTTCTTCAGGTATAAGTAGCGGATGTAAAAATACTTTTCTCCATATTGCGTCTTTCTGAAAAGAAGGGTGTTTTTAAATATTTTCCCTCGTATTTTACAAAATATAAAGATAAGTTTGGGTAATTTAGTATGAAACTAAAGAAAATACAATAATTTTTAAAGTAGTAAATAGTATATTGCTGATAGTCAAATTTAATGATACAATTAGATTCCTTGGTTTATTTTATTTTTGTTTGAATTTTTCGATACTTTTCTTTGTTTAAAATCTTTCTAAAAAAGCAGCAAGCAGTTTTTATTTACCGGATTCGTGCTACAAAAACATAACACTGTATATTTCCCATTTTGCGAATTTATAACGATAGACACAAAACTGAGAACTTACATTTTATTATTTTAGGATCCAATAACATTTCAACGCAATCGATAGCGTTAGCTTTAACAAACATAGTTAAACGGGACAATCCCGACTGGACGGATGTACAAATAAAGGGAGTAATTCCCGCTCTTGTGCAGCAATTGCAAGTGCAATTGCAGGCTGGTGATGTGTCTGTAAGTACCTTATTACCCCATTGCTATCTTGAAATGTATTATTTGTTTTTTTTAGATGTACCAAAGGGTGCAACATGAAATACGACTGATGCAGGCTCAACAGGCGCAAAAACTACGTGAACAGTATTACCAGCAGCAAATGATGAGAATGCTTCAAGCCCAGCAACAGCAGCAAGGTTTAATGGGCAACATGAACATTAATTCTCAGCAACTCTTCAAGTAAGTCAATTAATTTCACAATTTATTATTCAGAAAAATTATTATTTTTTTAACTGTGTTTTTTACGGTCATCAAACATAAATAATGGCTTTTAGAAGAAGTTTATTGTCCTAATGAAGTCTTGGATATAAAATACGTATTTAGTCAAAGCTGTAGTCTATATAAGTTAATGGTATATTTTAATAGGAGACCACAAAATAGGCTGTTATCTATAGGATTATATTTTATTTTATTATAGATAAATTTTTAACATTTTTAAACAATGATGAAATCACCCTTCGTATCAACAACCTTTTGCCTTTATATTATTGAAAACACTGATTTTTGTATGACAAATTATGCAGACGATACAAACCTTGTTGCATTTGATAGAAATAATTGTTGACAAGAATTGGTAAATTGTTTTCAATGGTTCAAAAATGGTTTTAAGAATATAATTTTTTCCTAAATTCAAATAAAATATGTCTTTTTGAGGGCCAGTTTAGCAATCTCTGGTTAAGTTTCAGTTAGTATATCTGACAGTTAAATTTCATATCGATCATTGTGAGAACAATGGTATCCATAAAAAATATTTGCCAGATAACTAACTGCAACTTTAACTGGACATTGATAAACTGGCCCTGAAACAACCAAAAATTTAAAACTGAATGATCAAAAAGTACATTATTCATTAAATTGTATACATTGATGACAATTTTTCAAAGAATCAGGATATAGAATAAATCACCAGGATATATATCACACTGCATGAGAAAATACATGAACCAAAAATTATTAAAGATGATTTATCATGCCAATTTTATATCAATTATTAGATTTAGAATAATTTATGGGGTTCAATTGTATCTGGTCCTAATTAAAATTCTGTCATGCAGAAGTGATTGATGCGTATTTTAAACAATTCTGCATGGGTCTTCATGAGAGCATAACTTTCTCACAGCCAGTGCCCTACATAATATAATAATATTATATATAAATGTCTTCTGTTTTGGTGAGAAATAAACACTTATTTGTGGAATACAAACCAAATCATAATAACAGTAGAAGGACTATGAATTAAAATTAAATATTAAAATACATTCAAAAAATAAATATTTCAATTGTTGGAGCCATACACTGTAAGTAATTATAATTAGAATTATTCTATCCAGCATTATGTATATAATTATATACTAATGCTGGATAGAATAATTCTAATGGTTCAATTGGCTTGGGACATGCAATTTTTTATTGCATATTTGGAATCTACACATGCGAGTTTCCTATTAAAAATCCCACGTTTCTTAAACATTTTTTTAGAGCGCTACAGCGTTTTGAAAACCACAAAATTTAAAACTTCAATGCCTTAAAGAGAGATTGTGACGTCGAGATGATATAACAGATTTGTCAAGAATTACGAATAAATCTAACATCTGTTTCTAGCATGGTTTTTTAAGTTTTTTTAATATCCTTTAAATTATTTAAATCGTTTGAAAATCGATTAAAAAAAAGTACATACTAGACGTGCGAATTTTAATAGTTATTTTCCGAACAAGTGCGCAAAGTTATATTTTTCCCCACGCTACTGCAAATTGCATGAACGCACTATGGTTTCTAGAAACGAGTTATTTGACCAAAGACCAATTTAAAATTCTAAATAATAATATAATAAACACATTTTGATGTGTACATATTAAAAATAAATAAATACTCCTGAGCTCAACATTCTTAATTTTTCTTTAGACGTACCTTGAACCAAACAAAAGCCTCGACAAGTTCTAGTTTAGGTAGTACATACTTACATGAGAAAGTTGTGGACAAAGTTTAAAGTGGTGGCATTATAGTGTTTTTTTAAATTTCATTTGCCGTAAACTATGTTATCTTTGATAAGGTATGTAATTAATATAAACATAAAAAAGTATTTTAAGCCCATTTAAAAAAATTGTCTAAATTTAAATTCTAATATTAAGAATATTAAAAAATAAAAAGGTAATAATGATTATGATAACATGAAATGTGAACAATTATCAAGATGTGGATGTAGATTTTGGACAGAGATAAATATGGATATTGATTGAGAAAGATTTGGGATTAAAATAAATACAATGTATAAAACTTATTCCTGTAATTGGGCCATGATATAAATAAATAAATAAGGCCTATTAAAACATTGGCGGTGTTTGGCAGGGATTTTTTTGTCTTGACTAGATTCCATCTTTTTGAGATTACTACCTAATAACTCTCTTACTAATACATGCTACTTTTTAAACAAAATTGTTTTTTAGCTATGCATCGTTTTAAGAATGAAAACTAACTTACCTATTTTTTAAATATCTCCACTTGTAAAAGTTAACTTTAAGAAACTTAAAAAAAATAAATAAACCTTTTTAAAAACCGTACAAATAATCCATCCACTGACTTTGTTCATCTTTCACGCCTAAACAGTTTAGAAGAAACTGCTGTACCGATTTTGATGAAATTTGGAAATAGTTTGACACCCGGGGACGGACATAGGCTACTTTTTGTACTTATTTTTTCTTTTTTATGTTTTAATAGGCGGCAGGGGCGGTGTTTTTGGGTTGGTTGAAATGACCTCCTATTTTTTCTTAGCTGTATCCCCGCGGGTTTGCTTATAAAATACTTACAGTTTTATTTCATAAAAAAACATTTAAATTAAAAAGAGGACTATTTGTTTTCAGAAATTTCGATGTCAAATTTAAATTTTTCAACTCGGAAACCTACATCTCATTTTTGTCAATTTTAACGCATTCATTTGAGTCAGCCATTTTGTTTTTGTAAATTTTGACCTGCAATTTCGATTCCTTGTCCCCAAAAACTTAAAACAACATATTTTCAAGAAGTTTTGGTCACATTCGGTTACTGAAACGACACGAAGCGGAGTTCGGGAAAGTCGTAAGTGCGGAAATTATTTTGCCTTAGAACTCCCAACCCAATTCTTTTATTTTTCCTTTAACGCTTTTTACCTTACATTCCTTTTTATTTAAACTATTATAAAAATAAGTATTAATATTATTATTACAGTGTGCAAATGTTCAATGCCGGATAAAAATTAATTAGGTTTCGAGCAAAATATCATCCAAATTTTTTGTCACATTAAAAGTGTTGTAGCGAACGAAATAAATGGAAATCCGATGGTGCAATGTAAAGGGTATAGGTATGGTGGGGGAGGCTGTCCCTCCCACTCCTATTGATTAATTTTTTTCCAGGGTTCGTCTTGTGCAGTTTGGTTTTGCAAAAAAATAATGAATTGGGGTGGAAGGTATCTACGACATTGCACCATCAAATTATGTGATAAAAATTTTAAAAATGGCCTCCAAATATTTTGCTCAAAAACCAATTGATTTTTATCGATTCGATATTAAAATTTGCACACTAGATGGCATAAGGCTGTTGACAACGAGGGTGATTAGTAATCACTGATTACATCATTAAAAGTAAAAACTTGTTACAAATTTTGTTTAAATTTAATTTAAAAAAAACAATCGACATTACTTTTCGGTTGACCTAAAATTATATTTCCTTTTGTGTTGTTTTTAGATAGATATACAGATTGTTCCTTAATAACGTGTCAATATTTCAGGGTGTGATTTCTCAAGCCATTTTGTAAAGAAAAGTTCATATAAACATAGGTCCTTAATTTTTTGCTACAGGGTTTTGATAATTTTTACAGAAACAGTGTGTGCGATTTAAGACCGCTACACCCCAGTATTTTGGAAAAAAGTTTCATGGCCTGCTTAGATCTGCTAAATGGGTCGAAATGTATACTACAATGTATACTATAACTACAACTAGACATTTGATTCAGATGTGCCTCAAAAACCTTTATGCAAAGTTTGAGCTTAATACCTTATAGTGTGTTTGTCACAGCATAGCGAATATTCAAAATTTCACTTTTTGACTGACCCTGCATAAAAGTCATCATGAGTACAAAATAGTATTAATTCAACTTGGAGCCATGTGAGATATCTAACCCCCGTTTTGGGGACGAAACCCCTTAAAAATTTAAAAAACACGTATTTTCTAAAAACATGACTTATTTTGATATTTTTATACACTAAATTTTACCTTAAATGTATTGAGCTCAAACTTTGTATAAAGGTATTTGAGACACGTCTGAATTTAATGCGAATAATGGTGCACTGAGAAAAAAATGGGACAAATAAACTGTTTACCTAATACTTTTATTTGTAGTGAATATATTGTTTATTACCTCTAAATAGTCGAAATAATAACGATAAATATACTTTAGTAAAACTTTATATGTCGGGAATAAAAATATATTTAGGATAAATAAACTGTACCCTTGTCCCATATTTAAATATTTTTTTTATTTGGGAGCAATAAACTTTTTTCTCCGTGTGTATTGCGGTCTTAAATCGCACACACTGTATACTATATAGTACAGTATGTGTATCAAGTTTAATAAACGGCATTTTAGTCAGAGTTTTAATTAGGTTCGAGCGTAGCTTGCGAGTAAGTGTATAATAAAAATGAGTGTCTAGAAAAGTTTATAAAAGAGTTATACTTTATCTACGACGAACACAAAGTATTTAAAGCCAATTTTATGTGTTCAACATTTGACATGTAACAGCTGTCAGACGACTTTAACCTCACTTTTTACCAATTTATAATAAAGCTTCGGCCTGTGACTAGAGCGGCCTAAAGTCACAGGTTATCAATGCAAGAGTAAATAAATACTTTTTAAAATATCAAAACCCTGTAGCAAAAAATAAGTCCGAGAGTTATTAAATGTTTAACAAATAAATAGTATAGTTTATAAACCTTTTATTAAAAATTAGCTTGCAAGCTTCGCTCGTGTCTAATTAAAGTCGCGACTAAAATGCCGTTTATCAAACATTACCTATCTGTGACTTTGTGGAGTTTTAGTCACGGGCATTAGGGGCTTTTAGGCATTTTACTTACGGGCTGAAGTTAGCTTTGAGGCAAAACACGTCAAATGTGTCAATGAACTTTTATTGATTTTTTGGAAAGTAACGATAATTTCCTTCGAAATTCCGCATCATTTTTATTATTTTTAGTAAGAGCTTTACAAAATTTAAAAGAAAAATTGATAACACGACTTGTTCGCAATAATTAGGTGCAATTTTTTTGACAGTTGTAAACTGTTTTCTCTTTACGATGAATACAGGGTGTTATGTAATTAATGTTATATATTAAAATACTGAATACCCTTTGACATAAGGAATAAAGGAAAAATATTTTAAAAAACATTTTTCCAAAGATAAAGAAAAAATATGCATTAGAAGTTTTTTATATTTTTTGTGATACGCCACTGGTTACACACTTGTTTACCTCTGCACACCTGTATTTTGTGAGTACATAGATACCAACCAACAAAGTAGCTATGCGTTGCCAGATGTAAAAAATTGTTACTAAAAATTTTTCTTACAAAAAATAAATAAAAACTCAATAAATACAAAAGTTTTATGCCCTTAAAGCTCTAATACCCTTCTGTATTTATTTACTGATCCAGCTATTAGCTTAAGCAATGATTAGAAAATTTAGTACCTTTGAAATTTGAAATCCATAACCACAAAATTAATTTTTTCATCAGTTTATTTCTCTGCTTACTCAGATGAAATTGGGACCAGTTCACAGGTTAAACTTTAAACATTTAATTTGTGTAAATAAATCCTTAGTTAAGATATTTACAATTTGAAAACATAACCTAAAATTTAAAAGAAATGCACTAGATTCTGTCATAAAAGTTAGCAGATTTTGTTTGAATTTATATACCTTCAGTACAAAAATGAAATAACCAACAATTAATAAAAACGCCAAATTGACAATTTGCATTGTTAATTTTGTCATTTTTGTAATTAAGCTAAATTTAAACAATGTTTGTCAACTTTTTTGAGAGATTTTTCAAACACTGTTGTTACCAACCATAACATAATAAATCCACCAGATTAACCTAAAGTTCCTAGTCGATCAGTGGCGTACTTTTTGGTTATATAAATATATAACCTATATACTTTAAGGTTATTATAAATTATTTTTAGACTTTGGAATTTAGAAAAAAAAAGTTTCAGGTGCTTCTTTAAGGAACAACCCATTTTAATATATAACATTAATTACATAACACTCTGTATATTCGAAAAATAATGAGAATTAATAATAAGAATTATTATCTCTAACTTCTAGGCCTATCATTGCAGTGAATTTTTTTTTAAACGTACTCTCCCTTCTTATTTTTGTGTTCCAAAAAGAAATAATTTGTCATTCCTACTCTGACAGTCTTATTGCATTATTTATATACAGAAAAAACATAATATTATGCAATGGTAGTAGATAATATATTCATTATCAAGTTTGATAAACGCCATTCTAGTCACGAATTTTAATAAAATAAGTGTCAAGAAAAGTATTTATATAAACGAGTTGAATACTTTTTCTACGACAATAAATCGCACGACTTATGACACTGTTGTCGCCCATGTGCGATATTATGTTTAGATGTCGATCTATACAAAAATATAGTAACCTGTGAATCTGTTTACCGGCTTTCAAAATGACAGTTGTCAATTTTTTATGTAAAGTCAGGGCTCCCACACCTCCTAAAACTCATAAAATTCCTATAATTTTACTTAAATCTTGAAAACTCCTAAAATTCTCCTAAAATGGCAATCAATCTCCTAAAACTCCTAAAATCCTAAAAATTAAATTTAAATATTCCAACCTGACTTGCGTTTAATTAAGATAGAGTTAAAAAAATTCTGTTTTAAAAAGTAATTTAAAAATATATATTTTTAGGTTCTATTCTATTAAACTCTTTTTAAAATGATATAATATCACAACCAAAATTTTTCTTAAAAAACAACGATATTTCGTTTTTTAGTCAAAAATATACCGTGTTATACAAACGTGAATTTCAAACAAAAGGATTTTTAAATTTCTTTTAAATTACAGCTAAAATAGTAAACAATCTAAAAAATGTTTTGCTGTATTTTGCAAACTTCATATTTTGTTATGAGATTTTTAGGTATTAAGATACACATTACAATTGAATCGGTGAGAATAAGAACAGTACAAGTCCAAAAATTTAATTTTGACAATTTATTTTCTAAAATCAATTTTAAAGTTTAAAATACATTTTTGTGAGGAGATAAAAATTATTTTACAGAATATAAATATTATATTTCATAAAATAGTCTAACAAAAATGCATTTAGAACTATAAAACTGATTTTTTGAAATATTTTATCAAACATTTTACTTTTGGACTTGTACTATTCTTAATCTTACGGATTTAATTACTGTTAGTTATTAACTAAACGGTTAACATATTTTTTCTTAAAATATAAATATAACATCATATAATTTTGGCATAGTTTTTAAACCAAATCTATCGACGCTTTTTTTAAATAAAATTAAAAGTGTGGTGAAATTTATACTTGTATATATATGTACCTCAGATATATACAAAAGTAGTAATTTTACCTCACTTTTAATTTTATTTAAAAAAAATTCGTCGAGCGATTGGGCTAAAAAACTAGTCAATATAACTTATTTTTACAAAATAAGTATTAATTTTTTTCTTATTTTTGAAGTAGTAGGGTATAGAGTTGTTTTTATTTAATTAAAGAAATTCATTTCCATACTTTATTTCTCCTAAAATTTTACAAAGAAACCTCCTAAATTCCTAAATAAAATTTGTAATTTTGCCGTGGGAGCCCTGTGTAAAGTTCAAATGTTAAATGTGCATGAGCTTAATTAAAATAAAAATAAAACATCCAGGAAGGTATTGTGCGTTATTCATATGCTTTTGCGGTTTCGTCACATTGGTCTTTTTAAAAGCATACAAGTTGTATGATACAACCCACCACGGCGTTCTCTAAGAATAAAAAGTATAGAGAACGCCGTGAACCCACTCAATGTGTCGCGACCAAAAAGTTCGTTCTTTTTCAAAACGACATAACTTTTTCGTTTCTTGAACGATTTTATTTTGGTCTGTAATATCTCTTAGCCCTATCCTCTGGCAATTCATGATACATATATGAAGCTTAAGGTTCTTCAAGTAAATTTCCTATAGGGTGATATGTTAAACGGTGAAAAATTTCAATAACTTCATCCAAGCCCCGTTTGTAAAAAAATAACTTTTTTCTCGTTTTTACTTTGAAATAATAAAGTATTATGTCTTACCTTAAAACATTTTTAAAATTTTTGGAATTGGAATCTTAGCAACGAAAATATAATTTTTTTTACAAAAGAGTACATTTAAGGCTTTTTTGTAGGCAATTTAACAGCCGGGAATTGTTTTCAAATTTTAATTCTTAGTGATTTTGGTATTATCTGAAACTTAAATTTGACAACTGAACCACAATCAGGAGGTCAAAATTATAAAGAAAACATGTCACGAACGTAAATATCGGTTCAGGATTAGTTTTCGCAAATTTTCACCAAAATGTCATTTTGAAAAAGTGGTCTTTGCTTAGGCCCCTCTGAAAATAATGGAAGTTTGTTGCTTGTCGCTTGTTCAGAATTATTCAAGGAACAATCTTTCACCATCTAATCTCCTTGTTCTTAAAAGGACTGAGTGTATTGCCTACCAAAAAACCTTAAATGTACTCTTGAAAAAAAAATCAAATTTTCTTTGCTAAGATTCCAATACAAAAAATTTGAAAACCTTTTCAAGGTAAGACATAATGCTTTAATATTTCATAGTAAAAACTAGAAAAAAATTATTTTTTTACAAACGGGGCTTGGATGAAGTTATTGAAATTTTTGACCGTTTTATATATCACCCTGTACGAAATTTACTTAAAGAACCGTGAGCTTCATATCTATAGCATAAATTGCCAGAGGATCGGGCTAGCAGACATCACAGACCAAAATAAAATCGTTCAAGAAACAAAAAAGTTATGTCATTTTGAAAAAGGACGAACTTTTTGGTTGCGACACATTGAGTGGTGCGCAGTTTAAATAACATAATGGGCTCCGTTATCAAAAAAGTTCGAAAAATTGATCTATAGCAAGGTCAACAAAAAGAATTTTACAGCTACTGATAAAACACGGTTTAATAAATAAGTAATTTTTTTTTATAAATTTAATAATTTGTCTTATGTTTTTTTTCAGTTTGTTGTCACAAGGGTCAAACAATACATCATCAAATGATGTAATAGAACTAAACTGATTTATTTATTAACCTTATATCGTAACTGTATTTAGAATGTTTTTTATTTCTTATGTCTGCAATAGGTATGTAAATAAACATCATTCAGATTTTATTAACTATTTTTTTATTTGTTTAAAGTGTTAGTTTAGTACATTTGTTCTGTGATTTGTTTTCACAATTAGTTCTTAACTATTCAAAACTTGTATTTTGTAAATACATTTGTATTTTAAAAAAGGTAAATAAATTTAAAAATGTCTTTCTTCTAAGTGTTGTTTTATTTCAGTGGTCCATGTCATACAATATTTTTCTTTGCGCCAACTCACTTTTATTATGTTCATCTAACATAAAGGCGGTTTCCATGCGATCTGCCGCAATGTTCTGGATATTGGATAACAAATCCGGATACGGATAAATCGCTTTAACGAAGTCCTTTTTATCCAGCGTATAAATCTCCGATATCTCTATCGAAATTACTGATGCTATCCTTAGAGTATCCTTATATAACAAAGATACCTCGCCAAAATGATCACCGTCTTTTAAGTGACAAATCTAGAAATGGTATTTTAGGACTTAATATTATTTAAAAAAAAATTGAAACCTCTTTTCCGGACTTTGTGTATACTGCTACGGTTCCAGTGGAAATAAAATACATACATTTACCAGGTGTTCCAGACCGAATTATGACGTCATTGGTCAAGAAAACTTGAATTTGCAAGCAAGAAATTATTCTAACCAACAAGTTCATTGGTAAGTTTCTAAAGAAAGACACATTTTCAACTAACTTTTTACAAGCATGCATGTTTATCTCCTATAACAAAAATATTAATAAAAAAAACAATGATTGTAAATAGAAATGTACTTGTTTAAGTTGCCCCGAAATGGTATTTAAAATCTCATCTTCTCTAAAATACCGTTTTTGAAACCTAAATTCGTAGTATGTATATATTCTGTTTCTCATATATGACGGTAATTGTTTATGTCTCATGTATTCCTCAAGTTCATGTTCTAAGGCCAAGTATCTGCTTCTTGATGATGTAGAGACTTTTATACTTTCCATAAAACATGCTAGAATAAAATTTTCACTGTATTATTCTGCATTTTGTTAAATGGTCTGCATTAAATACGTATAAAATAGATACATTAAAATATATGTAATGTGGAATTAAAAAATCGATTTCCGGGTTTTCATTTAAAAAAAGATTTGCCCGATCGAAGCTCAAAGTTGTATCCGTGCCTTAAAACTCTACTTGAGAGCATCCCCAAAACTAAAGATTTTCTTTATTTTTCAACCATTACACTTTATTATATTTAATATGTAATACATTTTATCGATTTTTTACTCTAAACAGTTTTCGGTATTTGGGCGGATTTTTTTTATTCCACATCACATATATGTTCTGTTGCTGCAGCCCATAAATGTTTTATTACTACCTAGAACAAATATAAAGAATAGTCTGGACATATACCAACTGACGCAAATAAATAGGTCCTCTAAGTAGTCAGCTGGTTTATTTCTCCCATATCCCGCAGTATATAATACAATTGAGGCATGATATATACCATTTATATATATATTGGCTGTATTTTTCTCTATTCTAAAACGTGAAATAATTAAATGTTTATTAATTAAAATATTTTGTACTTACGCTTCACCTTTTTCCCTGATTATAAACGATTTTTTTACAAATATCAAATAACAACACAATAAATGAACATATAAAATCATATAAATTATTATGATTGATTTCAGATAAACATGATGTTTGACTTCAAAAAACTAAAAAATATAATATGAATGCTTTCTTTAAGGAGTTAGAAAAATTACCTCTAACACTTTTTTTAGGTATCCATGAAAAGTAAATAACATGGGTAGCTTTATAAGGTAAAAAATAATAACCCAATGTTTATGTTTCTGTGGAAAGTAATGTTCTATAGGTATCTGTATGGGCACTACCGATATAAAAAATATTATATCCGTTTTTAAATTGTGTCTGCAAAGAAAAACAATAATTAATTATTAAATGGTAATTGTGTAAATATGGAAATATTATGCTTTGGTTTTTTAAAGCCCTCGAGGCGCGTTCTCACGGGTAATGGTTAGTTGACCGGTTAATGTATAATTAACCCGCTAATTATTAAAAGGGACTAAGTTAATTTTTTGAGTTATACCTGATGAGTCATTTAACTTGAAACTTTAAATTATCTCAGTTAGTATGCATTTTACGAAAAAATGTTTAAAATAATAATTAAATGATTCAAGGGGGAAATCAGTACTAAAACACCCTATTTTTTATTGCAGATTCGGATCATTCGACTAAAAATAGGTAGATCTAAAGCATTTTTTCATATTTGTAATAGATGGCGCTGTAATGAAAAAAAAAAAATTTTGTTCGATTTTTCTTCTGTTCGCTGTTCGCATATTTTTTGGACACCATATATTTTATAATTTGCTCGTGTATTGGGCGCCGTTTTATTTTTTATTCAGGAATTAATTTTATGTGTTAAACCTAGAGTCTTTAATTAGATAAAATATATCACATAAGAAGTTTTATTCTGCGAATTAATATCATAGCAGATATTTTAAAATTAGATTTAATTTTTATGCCAAACTGATATTTTTAATTTAAAATATCTCTTTCTTATATTTGTATTTTTGTTAAACACACATTTTTAATTCGCATAATTAAAAATTAGATTTAATTTTTATGTCAAACTATTTTTTATTTAGTTAATTTAAAATATTCGATTCTTATATTTGTATTTTTTTTCCTAAGCACATATTTTTAATTCGCTAAATTAAAAATATCATATGACAATTTTTTAAATGTATTAAAAATGTTATATGAGGTAATTCAATGTGATATTTTTAATTCCGACTGATTGAGAGTTTGGATACCCCTGTTATTCACAAAAACAGACCCACTCCAACAACAAACTAATCTTATCTTTGGAGATACATGGTTGGTTAAATTAGGAGAAAGTTGCGCATTTGCGTGCGGATTAATGAACTAAAAAATTGGACTTAACATTTTTAGTTTTCAAGATATCGTAAAAAACGATAATTTGTAATTTTTATTTAAAAAACATTTAAAGGTAGTTTTCTTATTCAGATGGCACTTTTTCAAGGGGAATTTAAATCTGTCAAAATATTTTTGTTAGGTTTAAAAACTACCGAGATAAGATGTATCCGCTTATCTTATCTCGGCAGTTTTTAAACCTACCAAAAATAATACTCTATAATAATTTCTGCTTCCTAAAGAAATAATATGTATAACTATTAAAACTTCAAATAACATGTAAGCATAAAGTAAGATAATTTATAAATTGCCCAAGAGATAACTATTAATTTTACTACCAAAAAAACTCCATATAGGAGTTCTGCTTTCTGAAAAAATATTATAATACTATCACTAAAACTATCTTGATACGATTTTCCTTATAATATATACATTCAAGCATACTCATTCCAGGACTAATGTGCATCTAAAATCTCCTGTCCAAGTTATGTCAAATAACTTTAACAAGATCTCTAGCGTTTGTGATATTAATGTTTGTAGTCTTAATGAATGTAGTCTTAATTGAATGTTGTAAATGGTATTTAAGTGAAAAATAGTTTATTTTGTTAATACTATTGTATTTATATGTATTTTGTCATGTAAATGGTTATCTGTTGGGAAGAATTTATTATTATTATTATTATAAACTTATTTTATTATTAATATTCATGTGTAGACCATTTAAGTAAGTATTCGCATTAACTTTACATACATTACTGCTTGCGTGGCGTTTATTAGTATTAAAACCCACCTTGTTTCTTTGTTTTAAAATAAGTTTTGTGGATTGACAGACACCTTTACTTTTATATTAAGAAGAAACAATGTTTATAAATATTTTTCTTCGTGTTTTATTTCACAATAACCATAAGATCAAAATACTTTCATATTATGTGACAGACACTATTTTTATACATAATTTTCTTCGTGTTTTATTAACCCAATAAAAGAACCCGGACAACAATCGGGATTTCCTGGTGAAGTCATGATGATATCACAACGTGATTTTTTTTATCACGCTGAGTGCATACACATGCTTCATCACAGTGATATCATGTAGAACTCACGGTGTGATATTTGGAAAATTTGCGCATGCGTATGAGCCCTGCAAACTGCGAATTTAAAACCTATATACCTAGTTTGTTATTCACATTACACCGTCATAATTTATAAAACGTTGTTTGATTCAAATTGAATATCACGAATGTTGTCCGGGTTCAATTAAAAAAGATATTCCATTCCACGCGTAACGGATGGGATAGTTGCAAGTTTTTATTTACAAAATAATATTGTTCTATTATATTACTCATTTTTTTTTATTCAAAAACAGTACTAGTAGTCTTTTTGAATAAAAAAATTAATTTTTAAGGAATTAAACAGTCAACCACGATACCAAATTTTGCCAAATAAAAACCTTGTTAAACAGCTTTTATTTAGAACTATTTATAAAAATTTGACATTAGTAATATAATAGAACAATGTTATTTTGTAAATAAAAACTTGCAACTGTCCCATCCGTTACGCGTGGAATGGCCGTATACTTTTTCTCTCAATGTACGAATGTGGCGCAAAATAAATATCCAAACACGGATGTATAGTATAGGTACTGTAGCACATAAACTTTTAAATTCAAATTTGGCGCTATTTTAACCAAGGAAAATTTGTTTCCTGTGTTTCCTTTGTATAACTTTTTATTTAACTGACATGTATTTTATTGTTTATGGAACTTAGTGTATCATTTTGGTATTAATGTATTTATTTATTTTAACTCTTTGCATTTGTACTCAGGCTAAAGCTTTTAACAATTATATTATTATTATAATATTGGTACCCAAACAACCAGTTTACATTTTATGTACGTACATAGTACGTCGACCTTCGACGTACCTTACATTTTACGTACGTATCTTATGTACATCCTAAGAACGTACTAAGTACGTCCAAATTCCACTCGATAATACGTTTTATGTATGTACATTTATTAAGAACGTAGTTTGTACATAAATAAATAGTACTTTTATTCCGTACACAGAAAAAAGCTTTAGTTAGCCCAACTATTATTTGTTTGATTTAACTAACATTTTTTTAAACCACTTTTTTATATTTTTCAAGAAACATGAAATTCCTTGACGCATTACTAGTACACTACCAGTGGTATTATTCCAGAATATTGAACCTTCAGCTCTCTAGAGGAAATGTTTTTAGTGCGTTCCACTTCTTCAAGTATTGACAGCTGTTTCCACCTATTTAAGGTCTCTTTAGTATTGTCACACCAAAGTAAAGGACTACTCTTCATGTAAGTCAACAGAGGCGAGATTTAAGAACATCACGTGATCCACACCGCCTTTGCCGCGCTCGGTACACACTATGCAACCAGGAATACTTTAGAACATGCTTCTTTTTCTGAGGACATATACATTAGGGTGTTCCTTATTTAGGGGTCGGAAAAAATTTAACAGAGGCGCCCCCCAAATCGGTTCCAAATCATAAAAAAAAATTCCTGCAAAATTTTAGGTCAATCGGTCAAAGGGAACACGTGCCCCACAGGGGTTTTTTAATAAATAATTGAGAAAATTCGGAAGGCTGATATAACTCCGAAACGGTCCATCGTAGGAAAAAAAGTTATATAAATTGTATGTGTTTTTTTTAGATAAACAACTTTTGTAATAACAGTCCTGCGTTAAAAAAATGTATTCGGGGTCAAAACGCGATAAAACGCTTTTTTGTGTACTTTAGCGCTACCTACTTTTTGAATTTTCTGTCCTAGAGCATCGACCCAATGACATAAATTGTAGGGGACAATGCACCCTACATTTTTTGTTAACAAAATTTTTTTCTCAAACTAACCGATTTTGAAAAAAATTAAATCCAAAACTTTTTGAGTTTTCACCAAAAACACGTTGTGCTCCGAAACGGTTTATCGTAGGAAAAAAAAGTTAAAATATATTTTGTAGTTTTTTTCAAGCTAATCAACTTTCCTAATGCCTTTGTCACAATAGTGTTAATGTTAATGGTAATGTTAATAAAGCATAGACAAATGCGTGTATCAACGTAACCATCAACATTACCATCATTGTGAACGGATACACGCATATTTCTATGCTTTGGGTATTAACATTAACATTACTATTAACATTAACACTATTGTGAGGTATATTAATAGTGCTGCGTTCAAAAAAAATCGAGTTCAAAAAGCGATACAACGCTTTTTTTGGTACTTTGGCCCTACCTACTTCTGAAATTTTTTGTTCTAGAGCATCGACTCAATAACATAAATTGTAGGGACTACATTTTTTGATTAAAAATTTTTTTCTAAATCTTATCGTTTTTGAGAAAAATAAAATATAAAAAACAAAAATTGAGTTTTCTCCGAAGTAGGATAACACGTCGTGTTAGTTTTGACGGATTAATCTTAAATTTTGCAAGATTTTTTTTGCGTGAATCATTGTGGCCTTATAAGAAAAGCCTAAACTCAACTGCGTTATCCTATAGGTATACTCCGGATTAAGGAGAAAACTCAATTTTTGTTTTTTTATATTTTATTTTTCTTAAAAACGATAAGATTTAGAAAAAAATATTTAATCAAAAAATGTAGTCCCTACAATTT